TAACACACTGATAGACACCCACACACACACACACACACACACACACACACACACACACACACACACACATGCTCACACAGCACCAGGTATAAGGCAAGGTAGTGTACTCACCCACTAACCCATCTAACTCCTAGATAAACATGCATCTATGAGAACTGGTAAACTGTCAATCAGACAGGAATTGTGTCTGTGGTTTTGTGTTGGATGTATGTATTGGATCTTTAAAAACTTGTTATGGTCACATAATAAAATAACTTCTGATGAACATCTCAGTTCTCTTTTCCCTGTTAAAATTTCTTTTAGTGTCATTGGCGTTTGACGGACAAAGTTGACACTGTAGATAATCAGTTTCTCTTTGCTGCGATCAGTATACGTCATCCAAATTTCTTTGAGCAACTCTGGTATAGTGTGCTCCTTCTTTCCTATAAAAAAGCTATCGTCTCTATCTCCCCTCCTCCTTTTTTGTGTTTGTTACTCTCTTGCAACACCTCTAATCTTCGGCACTTATATGACCTTATTGCGGTGCAAGTGCCGTAAAACTCTGACTAAAACTTTGAGCAACTGATGTATGTGTGCTCCCATCACAGACACCTGGTCGTCATTTTGACTGGATTTTTGGCTGTTCGTATTGCCCTTTGTGGCCTTTGCTTTTTGCTTTTTCACAAAAATTATTTATCACATGCTCTTGATGCTTGAAGTGTTAAAGTCTTGTTCAGGTTCTATGTATTGTACTAGTGACTTTTATGTCACTCTGCAAAGTTCTTTATACTTCTTAAAGTTGTAAATTGAGCTCTGATAACGTGCAATGTACTGACATGGATTTGGTAGTGATATGCTGAAGAAATGTGAATGTTTCAGTTCTTCTCTGATGTCACTTTTTTTTTTTACCTTTCCTGCTGGGAAAAAAACTAAACAAAACCAAAAAAAAACAATAAAAGGAAAGAAAGGGGAGAAAATCAGTAATATTGTAAATAAAATAATAAAATGGGGAGCATAACCTCCCTCCTCTCCTCCTGGACCCCCCCGCCCCCATCTACTCAAGAAAAAATTACAATTACCACCCGTGGCAATTGCATTATGGTTTGAGATTTTGTTCAGAAAGCCAGTTTGCATCCTTGGGTTAAGTGACATCTCACCTCTGGTTTGTTGTACGCAGGGTGACCCCGGCAGGTCAGATCGAGGACGACGGAGATTTCAGCGACTTCTACAAACTTCCCGATGAGTTGGATGAGTTTACGCGACTGGAGATACAGGCATCGCAGGATGAGGTGAGGTCATCATCATCATCATTATCATCATCATCATCACAGGAAAGGCAATGATGATGATGTGACTGTATAACTTGCATCACTACTGTGTTTCTTAATCATAACACCTGGACATCATCTCATCCCAGCCTTCCTTACCAGCAGTCAGGGTATAGGCCACGAACAAACGCTTTTCACATTTCCCTATCCTGGGCTAGCCTCTTGAAATTATTCCATGTGAGATGAGAACAGTCTTGTGAAATTGTCCACTCTTTCCAGTTCCCCAAAATCGCCCAAGTATGAATATTATAGGTAGCTTCCGAGGAACTTGCGATAGAGCCTACTACCAGACTGGTGCAAGTGCTTGGCGATGCCCTATCTCTAGAACAAAGCTCCTCCCTTCCCCTCGGACCCTCAAAGTACTCTGAAAAGGTCTGAGCTCTCCTATTTTCTTTTTTTTTGCCCATCGAAAAAACCCTGATTGGATTTGCGTAAAATTGTATTTTTTTCAACTCTTAAATTTCTTTCAGATGTGAATGAAGTGAATTTCATTTCATATGATGAGCTTTGCTTAAATTTCTACTCTAACTGTTTCACCCCATGTTTTGTTACAGTTGCTCACCAACTTTTCTGTTGTGCTTTTCTCCCTTGCAGGAGCTGGCGAGATTATTGCAAGAACAAGAGCATAAGGTACTGGTGGCAAAAAGATCACATTTTATTGTTCTCCATAAAGAGCTGAGGGGGACACAGCGTCCTAGGAGAAACACGCAGATACTCGATAAATATTCTCCCCACATGAGAAATGGGCTTGAGTCTTCTGCATTTGCTGGTAAAGTGCCGAACCGCTACACCAGAGACGTCTGTATTTCTGCTCTGATTGCATTTGCTACAAGTCATTTCTGGTTCATTTTGTCCCCAAAAAATTGTTCAGTTGCTTTTGCGCCTGAAATGTTGCTAGTGAGGTTAGTGATTGTGCCATTATATCATTTGAAAGTTTACTTGAAGTGTAATGATACCTGGGATGTAGGCTGTATTGACAGTTACTACAAATGTCCGTTCAATTCTTGATTCAAATAGCAGGGGGTTGGAGGGCATCACTGGTAGGTCCTACTTTTTAAAACTTTCCCTCTGTTGTTTCTGTCCATTTGTCTTACTTTTGCCCTGCACCCAAAGACCATTACTGTGTCAATGTGCTTCTTCTTCTTCTTCTTCTCTCTCTCTCTCTCTCTCTCTCTCTCTTTCTCTATCTCTCTCTCTCTCCCTCTCTCTCTCTCCACTAAACTACCATTATTGTGTCTGCGTATATCTCGTTACTAAAGTCAAAACTTAGGAGCACGCTTTCTGAAATGGGGAAAAAAACTTTTAGTCTAAGGAAAAAACTTTCCAAGTATCGAACAAACTTTCCAACTTATGAACAAACTTTCCGACCAACGAAGTGACTGTCCCCATCTGTTTGTGTGGCAGAGGTCAAAGGCGGAGGTGGACCAGCAGAAGCTGCGTCGCATCGAGCAGCAGGACGAGCAACTGGCGCGGGTCATGCAAGAACAGGAGAAGATACGACTCAGGAAGGCCAAACAGAAACATCAGCTCAAGAAACAGGCTCAGGTGGGTGTGGTTGTTGTTGTGGTTGTTTGTTGGTGGCTGTGGTGGTGGTGTTGATGGTGTCATTGATGAACAACAGCTCAAGAAACAGGCTCAGGTGGGTGGTAGTTGTGGTTGTGGTTGTTGTTGCTGATGGTGGTGTTGTTGTTGCTGTTGATGGTGGTGATGGAGGTGTCATTGATGAACATTAGCTCAAGAAACAGACTTAGGTGGGTGGTTGTTGTTGTTGTTGCTGGCGAGGGTGTTGTTAGTGGTGGTGAAGTCATTGATGAACAATAGCACAAGAAACAGGGTCGGGTGGGTGGTTGTGGTTGTTGTTGCTGGTGGTGATGTTGGTGGTGATGGGGTCATTGATGAACAGCATTAGCTCAAGAAACAGGCTCAGGTGGGTGGTAGTTATTGTTTTTGTAGTTGGTGGTGGTATTGTTGCTGGCGGTGGTGTTGTTGTTGGTGGTGGTGTTGATAGTGTAGCTGTTGAAGGTGGTGATGGGGTTATTGATGAACAATAGCACAAGAAACAGGCTCGGGTGGGTGGTCATAGTTGCTAGTGTTGTTGTTGGGGGTGGTAATGGTGTAGCTGTTGTTGGTGGTGATGGGGTCATTGATGAACAACATCAGCTCAGGAAACAGGCTCAGGTGGGTGGTCGGGGTTGTAGTTGTTGGTGGTGGTGGCAGTGATGATGGTGGGGTCATTGATGAACAATAGCTCAAGAAACAGGATCGGATGGGTGGTCGTAGTTGCTGTTGTTGTTATTGGTTGTCATGTTTTTGTTGTTGTTAGGGATGGGGTCATTGATGAATATCAAGAGCTCAATAAACAGGCTCAGGTGGGGGAGTGGTGGTGTTGTCATTGTTGGTGTTGTTGCTGGTGGTGGTGGTTGGGTCATTATTGGTGGTGTTGTTATCGTTGATGAACACTGGCTAGAGATGGTGTCAGGGGGTTGTGGTTAAAGTAAAATATTGCTTTCATGCATCCTCTTAGGAAATTTGTTACTTGTGAAAAAGTACCTCTTTTATTTGTCTGCATATGACATTTTGGCTTGCAATGACATTTTAAACATAATGCATACAGGACATAGTTTACAAGTACCAGTAGGTTGATTATGTAATGACGTTTGTCTTATTACCAACTTGAACCAGTCTTGACTTTTGTCATATAACTCGTCGTGACTTATGACCTGTCATGACTTATTGGTTTTGATCAACTTCAACCAGTCCTGACCTTTGACTTAAGACAAGTCATGACGTTTGACCAGTAGCAACTAATGTCTGATGACTAGTAATGACCTATGGTCAGTAATGACCAATAAATGATGTTCGACCAGTAATGACTTGTGTCTTATTACTGACTTAAACGAGTCTTGACTTTTAACTTATGACCAGCCATCATCGCGTTTAACCAATAGTGACCAGTGTCCGTTATTTTTGTTTTCACAGAGGAAGCAAGCCGCGGAGTCGATGCCGCTGGGCGCGTCCGCCAACACCATGAACCAACAGCAACAACAACAAGAAGAGCACAGCCCAGTCACAGCCTCATCCTCCGTGCCCATCCCAGCCCGAGACAACAACAATAGCAACAGCGGGGGTGGTGGGGGGAGTGGAGGTGAGACAACTTCTTTCTACCCACGTCTGTGGTGTAGCGGTTTCGCTACTTCCCTGTCGCTTGCAATAGGCCTGAGATTGATTCCCTTGGGGG